ATCTGTAAAATACAATGTTAAATGAAAAAAAGAAAGGTACATAGCTGTTTGAATACTGTGCTCCAAGTATATGCTAGTGTGTGTGTGTGTGTGTGTGTGTGTGTGTGTGTGTGTGTACTATTGGTTGTCTTTAAGGATAGAAACTGGCTAACTGGGAGATACTGATGGTAGGAAGTCTTACCTTTTAACTGAATGCCCTCTCATACCTTTTGACATTTTCACCCTGTGCATGTGTACTACCTATTTTTAAATAATTTAAATAATTATAAAATTAAAAACTGAGTAGCCCTTATATTATGAGAGACACTGTAAAGACTCAAATATAAAGCAATTCCTTCTTTTCTGAGGGATAACTTTAAAGAAAAAACTACTCAATTCTTATGAAGACATCCATGGGATATCTGGGATACAGAGGTGGGTTAAGGCAGGTCACGTGTGCATGAGCACCCGCTATAGCACGTATGCAGAAATATACGGAGTACAGGTGACCTCGGTGCTGAAGCATACCTATTTGCAGGAAATTGTCAATCAGTGGAGAAATATGGCTCTCCCAGGCTCAGAGACCAAGTCAGGCTCACAGCTCTGGCTGTGTACTCAGGTTAAGTATGGTAAACAAACTTCACCCTTTCTGCAGGCTTCCAAGTCAGAGCATACTTGTCCAGAGGTCAATTTCAATACTTGGACTTTGGATGTTCATTAAGTACTGCGTCATCATTCTGCTTGGGCAATTTTTGCCTTCATTCTACAATTTTGGGTCAGGAACTTTGACCTGAATTGAGGATATTCTAGTTTTCCTTCTCATAACCAGAAAGGATCAACACAGGATAATGCTCATAAAGATTTGATTTCTTGGGGTGCCTGGGTGGTTCAGTTGTTAAGCATCTGCCTTCGGCTCAGGTCATGATCCCAGAGTCCTGGGATTGAGCCCCGCATCGGGCTCCCTGCTTGGCGGGAAGCCTGCTTCTCCCTCTCCCACTCCCCCTGCTTGTGTTCCCTCTCTCGCTGTGTCTTTCTCTGTCAAATAAATAAAATCTTTAAAAAAAAATGCTCTAAATATGAAGTCTTTTCCTACAAGCCAAGCTTCCAAACAATGACCCAGTGGTACAAGAACACATTCCAAAGAAGTCCTGCTTTTACATAATCTAATGTCATTTGTTTCCCTTTTCTTCTGAAAGCATATGGTTTTGACTCAAATTTCTTACTGTTCTAACAATATGCATTTCAACCACATAAAATCTTGAAAGAGATTCCAGTTGGTTGTGATATTACTATCAATGTAGAACCCTGGGTTTTCTAAAAACATGGTTCAATAACAAAGATGATCTAGCTATCTTCCTTTAGAAGGTGTTGTCCAGTTCAAAACAAACTCCATCCAGATACACCAGGTAGCAGGTGGACAAACCATGCACTCATGGCAACTTAAAGTTCTAGGGTCCGGCTCTGACCCTAAGAGAAATCGCTTTTAGGTTCTACGGTATCTTGATGGCATGAAAGCTAGTAAAATTTCTAAAAAGATCAAATCAACAAAGTTAGATTAAAAGTTGTTTTGTGCAAAGGAATGTAGAATAATCTATTCTCAGGCAGATTAGAGGACACATGATAAAAACAGACTCCTAAAAATCTATAATTCTAAACTGAACCAGACTGGTAGACGTGATCTGCCAACTTCCTAACAAACTGAAACTAAAGTCAATTACAATCGTTTAACCTCTATATTTGAATGGCTGCAGCACGTAGGAATGACTTCTGTATTCCAAGTTCAGTGGACAGTTTTTATTCCTAACTTTCTGGAACACAGTTGACCTCTCATTTCTTCATGTAATTCTACTCCCTTGGCTTATGATGCTAGTCTCTCTGGTTCTCCCTGCACCCCTCCCACTAGTCCCTCTAGGTCTCCTTTGTAGATCCATCCTCCTCCTCTAATCACCTCTTAAATGGCCATGTTCTCCAAATTTCACTCTTGGCCCACCACCCTTGTGCCACTGTGAGCCCTCCCTAGGTGACTTGTAGGTACTCTTTCATTTGAATTACCATCTGTAAGCTGTTGTGTCTCAAACTAACTCTCCCCAGCCTTGGTTTTGTCCTTTTGGTTGTTCCACATGCACGTCAGACTACACTAAACTCATCATCCACCTTCATCAAGAGTGCCCCTCTCCTCCCCCTCCTATGTATTAGCTCCATTCATGATACCATTAGCTAACTAGTTGCTCAGACCAGAAACCTGAGAGTTACTTTCCTCACCCATCTCCCCACATGAGTGACCCTATTCTGCTGATGTTATCCCTTGCATATTTTTGGCCTTTTCCCCTCCGCTCTCTATAATCATTGCCTGGAGTAGCTGCTCCTCTCCCCTTGCCTGGCCTCCATCCCTCTAGTCTCCCCTCCTCTATGCAGAATGACCATATTAAGTGCCAGCCTAATCATGCAACCCTGCCCAAATCTTCACCAGCTTCCCTCAAGGAGAGAAGAAAGGTCAAGCCTCTTTGCCTGGCCTAAGAGAGCCTCCATGACACAGTCCTATCTTGTCATGTCCTGCCTCCTTCCACCTTGAATTTTCTCTCTAGCATGCCCTTGCTCTCATGGTTTAGCCATTTCATTACTTTAGCAAAACGCATTTTAAATATAGTTTGGTACCAAGACCATCTTTACAAAAGGATGGACTCTTCTCAGCACAGTAATTTAATGATGATGTCTTCATTTCTTTAAAAGTAGCTTGGTAATTAATGGGCATTGTCTTTTAAAGTTCTACAAGAATAGAAGCCTTTGAAAAACTTTTTTTTCCAACGCAAAGGGCATCTGTGAGGTGGTCCCAGGACCACGATGATGTCACGAAGAGCAAAATAAAACCCCTGCCCCCCTACAGATAACCCCTGCCTCTGCCTTTTCTCTCTCCTCTGGCATCTGTGTGTCCTCTTCTTCCTTCCTCTCTTTTAATATTCTCATTCTGATCCTTTCTCATCTCCTTTCCTTCTTCTTCTTCTTCTTCTTTTTTTTTTTTTACAGATTTATCCCATTCCTATTTTATTTAAATTCAATTATCCAACATATAAGGCATCATTGGTTTTTGATGTAATGTCCAATGATTCATTATCTGTGTATAACACCCAGTGCTCATCACATCATGTGCCCTCCTTAATGCCCATCCACCCTGTTACAACCACCCCGTTACCCCCCCACCCACCCACCTCCCTTTCCACAGCCCTCAGTTTGTTTCCCAGAGTCAAGAGTCTCTCATGATTTGTCTCTCTCTCTGATTTCTTCCCATTCAGTTTTCCCTCCCTGTCCCTATGATCCTGTGCTATTCCTTATATTCCACATATTAGTGAAACCATATAATTGTCTTTTTCTGCTTGACTTATTTCACTTAGCATAATCTGCTCCAGTTCCATCCATGTTGATGTAAATGGTAGGTATTCATCCTTTCCTTCCTCTTCTACATGTGTCTGCTTTCGGAGCTCAGGAGGGAGTTGGACCTTCTATGAACTTCCTGGCCCCTCTGGCAGTGGTGAACAGAGGGACTTGAGCTGGACCACTCCACTTCCAACCTCACCACTTTGCTCTCCCCAGTAGGTCATCTCCCCTGGGGCTGCAGGAGATGGGGTCAGAAGAAAAGGAAGGGCAGGGGAGGGGCAAGGCAGCCCTCTTTTCCCTGCCATTCTGGCCCCATGAGGCCTCAAAGAGCCTGGGAGATCACAGCCAGAGAACTAAGACACTCTGGCTCATCAAACCCAGTGTTACTGGGGAAGAGCCAGGAAACAGGAATAGAATCTTAGCGCTTCGGTTCATAGCAAGAATAGAATCAAAGTGCGTCCTGTGATCTTTAGCAAAGGTCTTCCCTGCTCAGGTTCAGTTTCCTCCTTTGTTGATATTATAATCAGCTCATATGAAGTAATGAATGAGAGACTGCTTAGGAAACTGTGAAGCACCAGATGGATATATTGCGTTGTCATTCCTTTATTCGTTGATCACTATTGAGCGCATTCTTACCGATAAGGACTGCCTGGTCCCTGTCACCCTTCTTTCCTGTCTCTTCCCGTGGAGAAGCATCAATTTAAAGAGGTCTTCGGTGTCAGTAGTTATATTTTGAAGTGGCCAGGCCCTTCCTTCTCCAGCCACTAGGTTTGTTGGGGAAGATACCTAGCATCGCCGGGGCCAAATTGTAATAATAAGGTGAAAAGAAGTGTGCTCTAAGAAAAGACCCTTTCACTTGTCACAGTCATATAATTAAAGTTCCTATAAGTAGAGTTACTGACCGTCAAACTTGTTATTTTCCTTCATCAAGTTTTTAAAGGTATCCTCATGATGTAATCGAATTTTCCTTCTCTCAGAAGCCAGATTATGTTCCACATGATCTTGCTCAGTTAGAAGTGTGACTGGTTTTAAATGAATCTAGAGAAAGAAAAACATTGCCTTGTGAAATTATAAGAGCACAACACGAATTTTGTAAAACTAATGATATGTTACATTGTTTTCTAACTCAAAATAAATAGAGCATTTCTGGGTCTTTTTACACATATTATTTGACTAAATTTCTTTCTTACAATATTTTTAAACTAAAAAAATCAATATAGGCTTAATTATTTCTTCATACAATAAGATATGTGCTTTAAAGAGTTTTCTAAATATTAATTTTCCCTGCTTTTTAAATTTTTCAACAGAGCTGCAAACTAAAAAAATTCTTCAAATTAATGAATGAGAAGGGGGACTTTGAGACCATTGAACTCTTACAAGAAATGTTTTCTACTTCTTGCAAAATTAAGATCTCAAAGGGAGGGAATAAAGATGTTCTAGAGAAAGCTGTCAAGTACTGAGAGTTATTTCTAATTTGGAAATTTCATCACATGGTGAAAACATTATCTAATAAGCAAACTAAAAGAATCAAAAGGTCAGAACAAAGCTTTGACCTCCAGAAACCTAAAAATATGATGCAACAGAACCAAGGGCTCAAGCTCTGCCATAAATGCCTGCCTCTTGACCTGTGTGCATAAGGAAGTCACCTTGAGACTGGATGGGGATAATTCCATGCTCATTTCCAGGATACCTGAGGGCTGGAACTGACCCTTAGCCAAGAAGACAAAGCAGCTAGTGGTTCATAATATGCTGCTTTGAAGTCTAAAACTCCTGTACACGGCCTTGTCTAATTTGTTTAGGAATATATAGACTTGATAACTTATACTGGTTTAACTCCACAGCCTTGTTTTAGTTGTGTGACCACTGGGGTATAAAAGTCCACCTGGTAAACTTTTGTCTTGGGATGCCCGGGTGGCTCAGTTGGTTAAGCGTCTGCCTTAGGCTCAGGTCATGATCCCAGGGTCCTGGGATCGAGTCCCGCATCAGGCTCCCAGCTCAGCGGGGAGCCTGCTGCTCCCCTTGCTTGTGCGCTCATGTGCGCACTCTCTCTCCCTCTCTCTCTGACAAATAAATAAAATCTTAAAAAAAAAAAAAAAAAGAGCTTGTGTCTTGGCTCTCCAATCTACAGATGAAGCATATTTTGTATATCTGAAAAGGACCCTGAGAGTGAAAAACTGAGAGCTTTTCTGCTAAGGTCAGGAACAAGACACGGCTGTCCACCTTCACCACTTTTATTCAACATAGTACTGCAAGTCCTAGCCACAGCAATTAGACAACAAAAGGAAAAAAGGGGAATCTGAATTGGTAAGGAAGAAGTAAAATTTTCACTATCTGAAGATGACATGATATAGAAAACCCTAACTCCACCAAAGAAGAAGTGATAAATAAATTTAATACAGTCACAGAATACAAAATCAATGTACAGAAATCTGTTCCATTCCTATACACTAATAATGAAGCAGCAGAGAATGAAATTAAGAAAATAATCCTATTTACAAATGCACTAAAAACAATAAAATATCTGTGAATAAACCTGACCAAAGACATGAAAGATCTGTACTCTGAAAACTATAAAACACTGATAAAAGAAATTCAAGACAATACAAAGAAATGGAAAGACATTCCATGCTCATGGATTGGAAGAACAAATATTGTTAAAATGTCAATACACCCAAAGCAATCTACATATTTAATGCAATCCCTATCAAAATACCAACAGCATTTTCACAGAGCTAGAACAAATAATCCTTAAATTTATATGGAACCACAAAAGACCTCGAATAGCCAAAACAATCTTGAAAACGAAAAACAAGGGGCACCTGGGTGGCTCAGTCATTAAGGATCTGCCTTCAGCTCAGGTAATGATCCCGGGGTCCTGGGATTGAGCCCCACATTGGGCTCCCTGCTCAGCGGGAAGCCTGCTTCTCCCTCTCCCACTCTCCTGCTTGTGTTCCCTCTCTAGCTGTCTCTCTCTCTCTCTCTGTCAAATAAATAAATAAAAAACAAAAACAAAAACAAAACTTGAGGTGTCACAATTCTAGTTGGCAAGTTACATTACAAAGTGCTAGTAATTAAAACAGTATGGTACTGGCAAAAATAGACACATAGATCAATGGAATAGAACAGGAAACCCAGATATAAACCCACAATTACATGGTCAATTAATCTTTGACAAAGGAGGAATGAACATACAATAAGAAAAAGACAGTCTCTGCAACAAACAGTGGTGGGAAAATTGGACAGTCACATGCAAAAAAATGAAATTGGACCCCTTTCTTTCACCATACAAAAAAATAAACTCAAAATGGGTTAAAGACCTAAATGTGAGACCTGAAACCATAAAAATCCTTGAAGAAAGCACAGGCAGTAATTCCTCCGACATTGGCTGTAGCAACATTTTTCTAGATATGTCTCCTGAGGCAAGGAAAATAAAAATAAAAATAAACTATTGGGAGTACAACAAAATAAAAAGTTTCTGAGGAGCAAAGAAAATAATTGACAAAACTAAAAGGCAACCTACTGAATGGGAGAAGATATTTGCAAATGACATATCTGATACAGGGTTAGTATCCAAAATATAGGAAGAACTGATACAACTCAACACCCAAAAACCAAATAATCCAAATTAAAAATGGACAGAAGACATGAACAGACATTGCTCCAAAGAAGACATCCAGATGGACAACAAACACATGAAAAGATGCTCAACATCACTAGCTATCAGAGAAATACAAATCAAAACTACAATGAGATATCACCTCACACCTGTCAGAATGGCTAAAATTCAACACCACAAGAAACAACAGGTGTTGGTGAGGACGTGGAGAAAGGGGAACCCTCTTGCACTGTTGGTGGGAATGAAAACTGATGCAGCCACTCTGGAGAACAGTATGGAGGTTCCTCAGAAAGTTAAAGATAGAACTACCCTATGATCCAGTAATAGCACTATGGGGTATTTATCCCCAAAATACAAAAAGACTAATTCAGAGGGATACATGTACCCCTATGTTTATAACAGTATTATTTACAATATCCAAACTATGGAAGCAGCCCAGGTGTCCACTGATAGATGAATGGGTAAAGAAGATGTGGATGTGGTATATACATATACAATGGAATATTGCCATTGAAGAATGAAATCTTGCCATTTGCTATTACAAGGATGAAGCAGAGAGTATAATGCTAAGCGAAACAAGTCAGAGAAAGACAAATACCATATGATCTCACTCATATGTGGACTTTAAGAAACAAAAACAAATGAGAAAGGAAAAAAAAGAGAGAGAGACAAACCAAGAAACACTCTTAAATATGAATAACAAACTGATGGTTACCAGAGGGGAGGTGGGTAGGGGGATGGGTGAAATAAGGGATAGGGATTAAAGAGAGCACTTATCATGATGAGAAAATAAAATAAAATAATAAAAAAAAAAAGGAAAAAGACCCTGAGAACTATGCCTGGAAGCCCTGACCTTCTTTGATGTTTGCCTGTGCTTTCTTTCTCCTGTTATACCATTTCTTTTAGTTTTAGTGAAGCCCTGCACGAGCATCCCCTACGGAGTTTTGTGAATCCTTTGATGATCCAGTCTGTGCAACTGATGAACTAAGCCTAGTCACTGCCCATCTCATCCTGGAATAAACTCACTTTGGACAGAGATGCACACAGGCCTGCAGTTTTAGACCAAACCTCTGATTTTTCATGGCTTTCTTAGTGATGCGCCACTGAACAAGAATGGTCCTAGCTGGAAAGTCTGGGAAAGGTGCTTTACGTAAAGGTTACCTGAGCCAACCTATTATGGCAGCACCGCAAGGCACCAACCTTCCAGAACCACTTTCAGAAAACAGTTCTTCAGGCTCAGCAGAGGCTGAACTGAAGTGTGACTATTATATTCTTAACCCATGAGTCCCTGAGGTCAGAATGAGAACATGGAACAGGACGGTGATGCAGACTCTTTTTGGTCACTTGCACTCACCCCCATATTCTCTCATTCTCAAATGTTTGGAGATTTGGGGGCACTCCCAGAAAAACAGAATGGTTTGCAAGACCTATCTCAATGTCTTCGATTTTAATGAACTTAGGATACCTGGGATGCTTTGTCAAAGTACAGATTCCAAGTTCCTATACTAGTGATTCTCATTCAGTAGGTCTGAGACACAGCCCAGAAAGCTGCATTTTATTTTATTTTATTTTATTTTATTTTATTTTCAGAAAGCTGCATTTTAAATAATAGCTGATATGAACTTCAGTTTGAAAAAGCAGGCCCTTGGGCAATGTGAATATGTCTTGTGGTGTGTCTAATATTGGACAGGGACTGGGAGAAGTGTCCTGGTGCATGAAAGTCTGCAGGGACACCTACCACCCAGCCATCAGGGCAGGCTAAGTTCTGAAGACCCACCCATCTCTTTGCCTCCTGGCCCAACTGAGGAGTAGCTTGTGAGTGCTGTTCTGCTGTCCCCTCTGTTGGGTACACAGAAAACATGGCTTTGTCCCAGCTCTAAAGTTGGAGGCAGTCTGAGGAAGAACGCTTTTGTAGAGTGAGAAGTACTCCTTGTCGCTTCAAAGTGGAACTAGGAGAAACCACTGTGCCCACCTCTGGAGTGATCCTTGCAGTGAAAGATTTAAATTCTAAATTAGATTATGACATTTAAAAACGCTTAGACTAAATGTGAACCCTCTCCTAGGTACCCTGACCCTGAAAAGGAAAGCCAAGAAACGATAATAAGTAAACCCCCGGCAGACTAGAGACAAGCTGCTTTTGGCCAATGGTCATGCAAGCCCCCTGGGCACACACATCAGAACAACATATTTATTTTAAGGCTGTTTTTACTTCATATGCCTTGAAGCTTATTTCTAAACTTCACTAGTTTAGCCTCTTTGACATTCTTCCATCAGGTATAAACAAATGACTGGACCATAACATGCAACTGCTTACTAAGTTGCTCTTTGCTTTAAGAAAAAAAATTATTTTAACTCAATTTTGAGTTATATAACCACAAAAGAAAAGAACAAAACCAGTAAACACTATTTTTGAGAAACCGAGAGACCCTTCAGATCATTTAAAACAGTATTTTTTTTCCATTTTCACCAACTGGCAACATCTCCCTTTCTCTAAGGTACATAACGCTGTATTACCACACAATGACAACTTTGACAGAAATAGGGGTGGATAACAAATCCTGGGAAAGCATATGTTACAGTAAGAAGAAAGGTCTTTTTTTCCATAATAATTCTGATGCCATCATTAACATGTCCCTGAATAACATGCTAGGTACTACTTCACACAGAAAATTTACCTTTTCTTCTCCAACTGGTTTGGCTACAAATGTAGAGAAAGCCACACTAACAAGTTTCTCAATACCAGTAAACATGTCCTGTACTATGACCTTGATGCTGATCTAAAACAAAAAGAAAAATAAATCAGTAAACTTCCAGCCATCCAGATAACACACGAGATTGCAGCAATCAAGATTCAGTGATATACTTCATCATTCTTTTTTGAATAAAATCAGCATTTTATTACTTTTATTTATTTATTTTTAAGATTTTATTTATTTGACAGAGAGAGAGACAGCAAGAGAGGGAACACAAGCAGGGGGAGTGGGAGAGGGAGAAGCAGGCTCTCCACTGAGCAGGGAGCCCGATGTGGGCTCGATCCCAAGACCCTGGGATCGTGACCTGAGCCGAAGGCAGATGCTTAATGACTGAGTCACCGAGGGGCCCCTAAAATCAGCATTTTAATTTCTTTTTAAGCAACATTGTTTGTTCAGTGATGTTCCATAAAATTAAAAAATAACTTTTTTCTGGTTATAGAAAAATACTATTTACCATGGAAAGTTTGGTAAATATAAAAATAGATAAAAATGGAACCTGATTATTCAGAGCAAATATTATTAGTAATTCTGCCACCCAGACTAATAATTACTAATGTTTAGGTAAATTTTTTTCCAGTTTTACGTGTGTGTTATGTAAAGACACACATAAAGTTATCATACTGTATTTATAGTTTTATATTATAATTTAAAAAACTGGCATTATTTGACAAGCATTTTCTAATCCCATTGTTACTAAATATGCTTTTGAAAACAAGATATTCATGAATGGCTTGTTGATCATTAGAGAGATGTACCACAACTCTTTAAAATCTTTAGTCTCTCAGTTTTATAACGAAATTAATGTGGACAAAATGGCATCGTGTTATCTATAGCTTTTTCCTTTGGAAATTTTAGCTTATCTCAGGGAATAGAAGGAAAAGGAGAAAGGAAAGGGAGCTGTTATCCATGTTTGGGCTGAATATAAAGAGCACTAGCCCTCAGGAGAGAGGTCAAGCCCAGTGGGGAGCCCACAGCTGAGAGAGCATCATCACAACTGCTGCTGAGAGATCTGGTTTTTAACACAAACATTTCTCTTGTGATTGCAAGTGTTCTGTATTCTGTTCATATGGATACTGGGGTAAAGCCATCACCATACATGTGGTTATTGCCAAGCAGTTTTATTGAATCAGAATATGGGTTGAATTGTGTCCCCCACCAAATCCAGTATGTTACAATGTGACCTGACTTTGGAAATGGGGTGGTTCAGATGTAATTGGTTAAGATGAGGTCACACCAGAGTAGGGTGCGCTCCTAATCCAATGTGCCTGATGTCTTTCTAAAAAGGGGGAATTTGGACACAGACACACACACTGTAAGAACACCCCGTGAAGATGAAGGCAGAGATGGTGGTGATGCAGAAGCCAAGGACATCAAAGACTGCCAGCAAATCACCAGAAGCCAGAAGAGAGCATTGGGGCACATTCTCTTGCATAGTCCTCAGAAAGAGTCAACCTTACTGACACCTTGGTTTAGGACTTCTAGCTTCTAGAGCTGTGACACAATACATTTCTGTTGGTTAAGCCACCTAGTCTGCAGGACTCTGTTATGGGAGCCCTAACAAACAAATGTAAGTCCCATCCTGTCTTTTGTGTCCAGAGATCAAAGGGACTGGTACTAACCAACCTAGAAGTTGTAATATAGGATCCAGTAACTCCTTTCCTGCTAGTTTCACCTGGACAGCGATTTCAAAAGCCTCTGAAAATGTTGCTTTCACAACTATGGTAAAGAAAATAAAACCAAGTGGATGTAGAAGAAAGGAGGACGTCTCCTCCCTTCAGTTACTCTGCCTTGCAAAAACTAGCTAATGATGGGGCTAGTTTCCCGTAGAAGGTGAAGAGATGGAGCACAAGTAGAGTCAGAATAATTAGGAAATAAAACCCATACTTTGCAAAGAACCAAGAGAGTGCCCTTCTCCCTTGTATGTTTACTGTCTGTGTATCCTTCTTTGTGAAAATAGTGCATTGCATCACATTTCATTTTAGTAGCAGAGTTGACTGGGAAACACAAGGCCCTTATTATTTACCTGTAAGCCTGACCACAGATTCCAGGGCCTTGTGAAATTCAGAATCTCATGAGCTCCAAATTATTCCAGAACTCCTCTTCTGCCCTCTGAAGAGATGGGCACCAATAGTCAGAAGAAAAGGGGTCACTTACCTCCATGCTTGTGCTGAATGCTCTGGTAACTTTTGCTTTGATGGTTATAACTTGTCCAATTCTAGTTAAAAAGAGAGGGAGGGACTTTAGTAATCCTAGCACATCTCATTTCAGACTTAAAGATTCACTTAAATGCACATGCCATGGAGCAGTCCCTGTGTATCATGCTGATAATGTTCATACATGAAACCTTGGGTTAATGATAACAGAAAAAGACAGCTGTAAAAACAGATGCCAAGCACTGTAAGCCACATGTAGGTTAGCTGACTTCTATTCAAACAGAAAAGGGCCTTTGTAAAGATGGTGTGCAAAATGACTTCCAAAATCTGCAACAGATACTTTGATTATATCACAGCTGTTTCCTTAAGAGAAGATAAAACAAACACACAAACCAAACCATAGAACTGACATTTATTTTTAAATGTCTGTTCACAAATAAATGGATACAAACTAGTGAGCGAGCAAACTGATAAACTTCACCAGGTTTACATGGACTCTCAGGACGGCTGGAGGACCCATTCACTCTCCACAATTACAGGAATCCTGGTCATACAATCTGAAAGTGTTCCAGACCTTTTGTGTTCAGGACCCCCAGTTACCTTCTGTCCCTTTACTTTACCTTAAGGGTCTACCCAATGTAAGCCTCCTCAATTTTTCTCCCTTACTTTCAAAGTTAAACTATACTCCCTTTTCTTCTGTTTCGGAGGAAGAAGACAGGTCTCTTCTCTTCTGTTTCGGAGGAAGAAGACAGGTCTCTTCCAGACCTTTTTCTGTACCTGTGCCCTTGACCCACCTCCTCATTACCTTTCTTCCCTACTGAGGCCTGCTTAGCTCTTTCCTCTTTTGTACCCTCAATCTCTGCCCCTTCCCTGACTTCTTATCAGTCTATGAAAATGCTCAAGACTTCTTCTTTCTAAAGATTTTTCTCTCAAGCCTATTCTTTCTTAAAATTTTTTCTCTTCTCCTCCATATTCAAACTCCCTAAAATATTCCTTTTTTTTTCCTAACTCATGCATTTAGGAAATGTTTACTGAGTTACAACTAGTCCTGGCATTAAGCTAAGACCTCAGGAATACAGTGCTGAACAAAATAAGGTTGCTAACTGCAAGGGAACCAGTCTTCACTTGGGACACCAGTATGTAGACAGATGAAGGGCAATGCTATGAAATTTTTCAAGAAAGAAAGGATTGAGTATTACAAAAGCACCTATAAGAAGAGGCTAATTCAGAAAGTTGGGAAAGGAGTCACAGAAGAGGTGACATTGAGATGGCTCTTCCTAGATGAGGATTTTGCCAGGGGCCGAAGTTTGAGGGCTTCATTTCCCATTCACTTCTCAACCTCTCAAATATGGCTATTGCCTCCACATCTCACTTCTGATCCCTCCACAGTCACTTCCTAACAGCTAAATCCAACATCTCACCTCATTTAATGTCTTTCTTCAGGAGGCTTTCACTTCCCTTGGATTCCAAAACAGCATCCTCTCTTCTATCTCAGTTTCCTTCACTGATTTTTGTTCCTTAATCCATCCCTTCAGTGTAGACATCGCCTTAATTTCTGTCCTTTGTCCTATTCTCTTCTCACTTCACCCTCTTCCTAGAAGACCTTGTTCTTGTCCATGATCCTGTCATCTTTATAGAAATGATTACAAACCTACATTTTAACCTGGACCTCATTCTTGAAACTCAGAGCCATATTTCCAAATTTCTCTCAACAGATTCAACTAATAGTCATGGAGGCTCTACTAGGCTCAGTGTTAGCTATCTTCACACACATCACCCAGTTTATCTTAATCTCCACATCCAGCACATGTAAACCCAAATCAATTTTCTTTCTTCCTTGTAAACTTTCTAGCTCTGTTTGGTAAAGTTTCTAGGAGAGATTCACAGTAATCCTGCCAGGCAGAGTTAGAGTACCTCTTCAAAACTATAGTAGTACTTTGTACTCATCAACTATAAAAATCTTATGCCTCTCTGTCAGTCAGACCTGAGCGGGGGGAAAGCACAGGCCACTTTGTCTCTTCTTGGAACCGTGTCCTGCCTTTAGAAGTAGGGGAATTCCAGGGGCACCTGGGTGGCTCAGTCTGTTGAGTGTCTGACTCTTGGTTTCAGCTCAGGTCATGATCTCAGGGTCGTGGGGTCAAACCCTGTGTCGAGACCCATGTTGAGCCCCGTATTGAGCCCCACACTCAGTAGGGAGTCTGCTTGGGATTTTCTCTCTCCCTCTCCCGTGTGTGTTCACGGACACTCTCTCTCTAAATAAATAAATCTTTTTTAAAAAATAAAAATAAATAAGAGCAGGGGAATTCCAAAGAACCTGGTTGTCCACCAAACCAGACTCTCAACACTGAATGTCAAATGAGTGGAACGACCAGAATTTCAACTAAATAAAACCTGCTTCATAGCATGGCATTCAAGGTCTTCTGTTACGTGGCCCCAGTCTACAGCTGGGGCATCACCTCTTTGCAGATCAGGCTCTTCCTGAGCACTTTCTGCTCCTTCTTACACTCGTGCTTAGATTTGTACACATGCCTCATTAGGTGAAGTCCTTTTCCTATTCACCAGATGAAAATCTATACCTCATTTGAGGCACACATTAAATGCTATCACTCTCATTGATTCTCCAGTCAAAATGTGCACCTTTTAAACTACCCCAGAGAATGGAGTTTATCTTTCACCCTAGGCTTGCATCCTATCATGCTTCCTATTCTGATGATTATGTATTTGTCTGACTCTCACCAGACTCAGTGACCGCTACACTCCAAAATTGTGCCATAATCATTCATATATCCTACTGAGTCCAGAGCAGTACTTTTCGTATTGGCAATAAGTATTTGAGAATTTGAACAATATCCAATGTGGTTTATAACCAAATTATATGGCTTTCTATATGTAGCTTTCAATTTTCTCTTTTTGTGGTTCAGGTCCCACGTAAAAAATACAAGCAGGTCCCTTTCCATGATGTTAGTGGCCACAAATCCTTTCTGATAACACAAACACAAAATGGTGCAAAATGGAGCAAAATGGAAACCCACATTTCACTGATGAGGTTACTAGTTAAGTCTAATTTACAGAATTTAAGATTGAAAACTATATAATAGATATTTTATTTAAACACACTGTTGCCACTCCTAAATTTAATAATGGTGCTTCTTTGTAGTCCTAAATAAGTTTGGATTTGTAGTAATTTGTAATTTTGCTGATACAAACACATGTCAATTTTTTTCTACTTAAGGGAAAATCACATAGCTAGTATGTGAGCTTAGTCCTTGGACCTTTATCTGCATCCACAAGACTCTAGAATGTCCAGAGCTCTTTCCATGACACTCCAGCTGCCTAGGAGAACCACCATTGGGAAGTGTTCAGTAAAAGTTGCTGGTCACAAACACAGAAGCAGTGGGTCCGGGAAAGCACTGGATTAAGGGTAAGAAGATCCAGGCTCAAAGCACCCTCTGTCCCCGGGTTTGCTCAGGGCATTAGGCCTCAGTTTCTCATGGATACAAAGAGAAGGCTGGGCTGAGCTATAAAGGTCTTACCATGTCTGTGATTCTAATTCCTGCCAAAAATTTCTTCTGTGTCAGTTTTGAAGTAATTCCTTCACGCATGTGGTTTTATTTAACTTAATTTTGTTTGTATCTAAATAAATAAATGTCAAATAGATAAATGTGAACAGTAAGGCTGGAGAAACAGACTGAGCATCTCACTGGACAGACTACTTAGGGCTTGAAAACCGTGGCAACTACCTCCATGGTCTTTGAGAACCATCCAAGACCAGAAACAGATGACCTTCTCTTTTCCTTTTCCTTGTTAAGTTATGTTCATGTCTTCAAGGATCAAGATATTCAGGGAAAAACAAAAACAAAAAATGGAGATACAAACATAAAATCAAAGAAATTAAGTAAAACCATATAATCCCATTTATTACAGGTATTAGAATAAACCCTTTAAAAAACAAATAATTCTTAATTCTGTCCCCCGAAAAAAACCTAGAAATAATGACCAACCCTTTATAAATGAGTACATTTTCTGCCCAAATTGTGATCTCTACTTACTATTTCTTTTGAAGAAATTTGTGACTAAGTTTTTGTAAGGAAATAAAAAAGATGAGTCCACTTTGTCATACCAGAAAGCAAAGGAGTTATTAAAGGCTTCTAACTTTGTGGTTATGACCAAAGAACTTAGGAACCAAATTGAAGAATCTCCCACTGCTCAAAGATGAGGCAGTTTGAGCACCCATAAGAATAACCACATCCAAATTGAAATGTATCAAATATGCTAAAGTCCACAGGCTTATAATGACACTAAATAAAGGAAAAGAATTAAGCCTGTCTTTCCTGGACAAACTTTACCTAAGGGTAACCAAGTAATTAATGAGATAAAGAGTCTCTCTATACAAATAATTCAAGAAAATAAATGAAGAAGAAATGATAGGATTGGCATATCACCATTTTACCAATGTCTAATGAAATAATGCTTTAGGTAATGATCATCAGACATTATGTGCTCTTGATAAGAACTAGCTTTACCAAAATATCAAAACTTCATCAAATCAATTTTTAGATGTTGCTATCATTTTACAAGAAATACAAAGAACGGGTGAACTTCTAAAACAGGGATACAATGAGCAAATACAAAATGTCGTAAACTCTATAGGACAAATGACCAGGTTTCTTTAATAAATAAACTAAGAGAAAAGAAGGGAGAGAAAATTATATGTTAAAAGACTTATCAGCCATATTGAATCCTGATTCAAGAAACCAATTGTTTAATTAAAAAAACACATTTTTTGAGACCATTGGGAATAACAATTTGTTAATGGTGTTGTGATTATGTTATTATGTTTTCTAAAAGAGCCCTTATCATATAGAAATATATAATGAAATATTCACAGACGATGCCTGAGATTTCCTTCGAAATAATCCAGGTATGTGGGGGAGTATGGACAGGTGCTGATAAAACAAGAGTGTCCATCAGTTGATCACTGTTGTAGTTAGGTGACAGTCCTTGGGGATATACTATACTAATCTCTCTACTTTTGTGTATGTTTGAAATCTTCATTGATCTTGAAATTTTCTGCAATATGAGATGGTAAAGCACATACACACTCCCACACATAATATGTTTTTCATAATTTAACATCTGTAGTCAGATGAATTAATGTTTACCCAACAACCTAATGATGAAATTCACCATCATAGACCTACTTGTTATCATTAATTATTCTTCTAGTAGAGGAAGAAGCCATTAAGAAGCAGCTTTTAGAAATCCTGCTGTCTCTACCAAAATGCATCTATTCTGAGAGCTGTGTCTCACAAAATCAGGACTATGAATTTACACTTAAAAGTCTTTACTAAAAGTAGATCCTGCAATTACTATTTTACTGATTTACATGAGGTCAATTGTTATTTATTTTATTAACAAATTGGATCACTGAGTCCAAATAAATAAGCAAAGGTGCCACAAATCTATGTTGTAAATGAGGCAATAAGCCCAGGAGAAAGGAGTGGTAGAGCGATGCCACTTACCTAGCTGTCTCCTCAAATTGTATGTCATCCACTGAGGCTGTAACACAGGAAACCCCAGCATGTTTTTCAGCTTCAAAAAACAGGTAAAAATGTGCTACATTAATAGTTATGTCTAAATCTTAAGGAAAAGAAATAAAAAATTAAATGGACTTATTCTAGTAACTCATCCTCTGGTTCAGTAAAGTACCACTTTGCCCACACTTGTGGATGATCTGGATCAGTAACAGTTCTTTCGTTCTGTAAGTTGTATTTCTACTGCATGGAAATTACTGTACTTTCTTCTAAGTTTTAACTTACACTGTCTTTGATTTGAAATTCAATACCTAGTATACCTAGTTATTGAAATAGCAATTTTAGTAAGTTGGTACCAACTTTAAATATTTTGTCAGATACTACCCTCCTTTTGTTTTAAAAACAATGCATTAAAGCTGTATCCATTATAATCAAATATACAAAATACATATATTTAGACCAGTTAACATGTATAAACATTGAACAGTATGGAGACCCGGAGATCACACCCTAAATCAGAGAGCAACTTCTCTGGGTATCAGAGAAATACTCAGCACATACTAGGTATTTAATCAATACTTATTGTTCATTATTACCAAATTCAGTATGCATTAATTATGTTGGAGAGGAGAGTATTAAAATAGTGTGGAAAGAGATTAAGGAAGAACTCTAGCTATTTCCATATTACATTTAATTGGTTGAGGGTTTTTTTAATTATTGATTTTGTTTTATATAAAAATATCAGAACTTATTCTCTTTAGGAAAAATGTGGACATGTGCTTCTGCCAGAATCTGATTTTGATGAACAGTCAGTTAAAATCGAAATAGATTGCACTGGCTTTTTAGGAAATTTTAACCCCATTTTAATTTTGGAGACATCGCTCCTGCTGCCACATTATGGAAGAGATTGAATTACACTGACGTTGTCTTCTTTGTGTGGAAACTTTAACTGCAATAATAATTGACAGTGCAAGGTAAAGAGAGGTGAGAAAATACTCCAGAGAGCAGGTATTTAGGACACTCTTCCCTATAATCTCATTTGTAGGAAATTGGACATTTTGGTTTTACCAACTGGAAATAATTAACTGTTCTTCCAAACATGCACATAATATAAACTGAGTTAGCAGAAAAGTAACCATAGGGATACTGTGTGTGTGAGTAACGGAGAAGGGACGACTGGCTTCCCAGCTATTAAGTTCAGTGAGAGGAAGGGAATGTAAAAGGACCAGACTCTAGAAATACTCAAGTTGGGTTCAACTGGATTCAGTGTACCAAACACCTATTAAATTTCTACTGATTTCCAGACACTGAGCTAAGTCAGTCCTACCTCTTACCAAGTGTACTCGGTGGCAATTAGAGAGCTAGCCATAGTCGGTGCCCTTTTAGAGCTTAAGATTTCCAGAGAACTATTGGATCCTTGCAAATATATGCTATAAAACATTGACTAAGGAGTACCTAATACACATTCATTCCACTTACCTGACATGAAGGAACAGGATGTGGAGTTTATTAAACTATTCTTGTTAATAAAGTGTTACCATGTGTGGCAACGTAAGTGACCAATTTTGAATGATTTAAATGATAACTAAAGTGCTAAAGCACACTCTGTGATGAGTGTGGAGCCCTCCACACTCATTTAGCCCCAAGGCTAAATTTTTATTTTATATATCAAGCATCTATTTTATATATATGTAAATATATAGAATTTATGTCACATATATATAGCACTATATATAATTTATATGTCATATATATAATTTATATGCCATATATATAATATATAGCACTATACTAGATTGGGATCATGAACAAACATTATTATAATAGTAGTTACCATTTATTAAACACTTATTATTGACCAGGCACTGAGCTAAGTATTTATGCATGTCAATTACATGAGGTTGGTATAATTATTAATTTTACAAATGAGGAAATTTAGGTTTAGAACGATGGACTCCATTGTTCTAAATAGTGATTTTGACTACAGAAGCAATAGGAACTCTCAGAAAAGAGCAGTCAAGGAACAGTCTTTAGAGAAGTGCTTAGCTAAATATGGGCTTCAGAGGCTCAACAGCCATGGTTTAGACTATAGACTTTTAAGGGTCATTAAATTAAAAAGAAAAAACAAAAATATGGGGACCCAACATAGGACCACAATTTGTACATGTGATTCTATGTGATTGTTTTATTTTGTTTACAATTGTGTGTCATGTATGAATTTAAAAGACCAGCTTGCTCTGATTCTTGATTTTGATTGTCTTTCATACAGTATTCCAATAAAAGTGGAGAAACTCTAAAGCTATTACTGATTTCCTTGAGAAACTGAGAGAGGCTGGGAATAGTAGCAGACTAGCTAAGTGACTGTAATCCAGATATGAGACGATGATTGTTAAAAATGGTGGTATCTCCATTCATTCATTCCTTTAAATAATGTTGAATGAATTACCTGTGATATGCTAGCCTCTATGTAAGGGGCTGACAATATAAAGCAGCCATGATCTCTGTTCTCACAGAGTCTAGTGGAGAAGCCAGGGATTAATAAAATGAGTAAGTAATAACAAAATGAGTTAAGTGCTCTGAAGAAAACATGATTGGATGGGAACCGTAACTGAGAAACCAGACCTAGGTGGGATGTCAGGGAAGATTTCCATGTGGAGGGGATGCTTCAGCAGAGATCTGAAGGATGATTAAGACTAAAATACATGTGTTGGGGAGGAAGAACAGAGAAAAGGTGAGCAAAATGAGCAGAGGGAAACAACAATTACGAAGATCCTGATCAAAGTCTTTGAGGATAAAATGCAGAAAGCAAGAGGGGTGCCTGGGTGGCTCAGTTGGTTAAGCGTCTGACTCTTGATTTCAACTCAGGTCATGATCTTGGGCTCCACACTCATCACAGAGTCTGCTTGAGATTCTCTCTTTCCCTCTCCCTCTGTCCCTCTCCCCACTTGAGTGTGCACACACACACACTCTCTCTAATAAATAATATAATCTTTGGGAAAAAAATGCAGAAAGCAAGGAGAGCTGGTAAGGCTGAAGGGTTGGCGGAGAATGGACTATGCACAGGGCCTTGAATTTCTTGGTTAACAGTTTTATAATTATTATTAAAGATATTGTTCCACTGTCTTGCTATGATCTTCTTCAATCTGTAAATGTATGTCTTTCATCACATGTGGGAAAATTTCAGCTACTATTTCTTTAAATATTTGTTTTATGCTTCATACTTTTTCTCATCTCTTTTGGGGCTCCAATGACAAGTATGTTACACCTTTGGAAGTATTTTTTCAAATCTCTGTTCATTTTTGAACTTCATCTTTTCCCTTTTCTTCAGACTATATAATTTCTATTGTCCATTTTTATGCTTACTCACTCTTTGTCTCCTCCAGTCTGCTGTTAAGCCTAACCAGTGAATTTTTTTAATTTCAGATACTGTAATTTTCAGTTCAGGAATTTCCACTTGGTTCTTTTTTTGTGTTTCTATTTCTCTGCTGAAACTTACTATCTTTTCATTCTTTATGATCATAGTTTTTATTACATCCTCAAGCATAGTTATAATAGCTGCTACAGAATCCCAGAAGCTTAATTCTAGCACATGGGTCATCTAGGGATTGATCTCCATTATCTCTTCATTTAAGAATGCATCATATTTCCCTGTTTCTTTGTATATCAAGTAATTTCGGACTGTATCGTAGCCATTATGAGTGATACATCGTAGAAACTGTGGATTCTTAACATGTTCCTCTGAAGAGTAATATTTTGTTGTTTTTTTTTTTTCAAGTAAGCAGTTAACTAAGCTCAAACTATAAAACTCTTGTCTCCCTAGAGGTTGGGATAGCCTTTTTCAGTTCTTTTGGCATTATCTAGGAAGGTTGGAGTTTCTCCCATGCATACATGATTCAAGGTTCACCAGAGATTTGAGCAAAAAACATAGATTTTAGGGCACTGCCTCTCTGGTTCACTCCTTTCTTGAATTCTCCTCCTCACATTTCAGTAGCTGTGTTTTCCCCAAATCCTCTGGCACTTCAAATAAGCAAGTCTGTGGGTTTTCCATCAGAAATTTAGTTGGCAACAGAATGGAGTCTTTCTTCAGGCTTAAAGTCATTAAAAAATAAACAAAATGAAACAGAGAAAGTTAGCTAGTACCACTCTCTTCTTCTAAGTGTTGACTTCCAAATGTTCTAAATCAGCTTTTGTTCACTTGTCAGTTGCCGTAAGTAGCTTTTATTTAATGTTTTTTCCAGAGTTTATAGTTGTTATCTCTGTGACTTTTTTTTTTTTTT